ATATATATATGTTAGATAGATAGAGAGAGATATAGATATATATGTTGCAGTGTACCATCAAGTTGGAACCAACTCGTGACTGACCCTCAAGCAGGTTTTCACAGGCAGTAAATTGTACAGGAGGAAACTGCTCATCTTTTTCCCATAGATCTATACATAATTATGCTGCAGAGTCATAAAGACAATTTGGAAAATGTGTGAAAAAAGTATAAAGCAAGTATTAGCTATACAGACATCTATATTAGATACATAGATATCTATATAAAAAGTAACTGAATTCTTATAAATTACTAATTCTCTAAAATTATTCCATTCACATTCAGCACTTTTAAATATCCATATCTAAGTAAGTCCACTATCGAACCAAAGTGATTCTCAAAAGGAGAAGTACATTTTCAGTAAATTCTGTTCACAGCAAGTTCATTTTGGAAAGTCAAAACACAAGGGTATATAATAGCGTATGATATATCAGAAAAGCAAAGTTTTCTAACACAACATTTACTATAATTTTAAGTAAACATCTTCAGGATCTAGAATCTTCTTCAAATTTCAAAATGAAATAAACATGAAATGGGAAATTATTCAAACGCAGATGCCTGGGACCCACCCCAAGGGGTATGTAGAGGGGTCTGGGACAGTAAGCATGCATCTACCTTTTTTAACAAGTTTTCCAAGTGATGCTGAGAAAGTGAACCACACAGCAGGCTTTGAGAAGCACTCAATAATAATGTCAGAGACACTCAACCAAAAAAACCTCAATTTCCTGCCATCAAGCCAGAACCACTGTTGTCACTGTTAGCAATCCATGAGCAGCAGATGTGACCCTTGCCATCCTCAGGATCTCTGTCATGCTCAAACCTACTGCTGCAGTCACCATGTTAATTCATCTTGGTGAGGGCTTTCTTTCACAGACTGTCTACCTTTCCCAGCATTATGTCTCTCTCCAAAGACTGATTCCTCCTGCAAATATGCCCAAAGTAAGTGAGATGTAGTTGAAGACCCATGTCTTCAATGAACATTTTGGTTGTACTTCCTTAAAGACAGATGGGTTTTTTTTGTTGTTGTTCTTTTGCTAGTTCACAATATAGTCAATACTCTTCAGCAACAACGCAATTCAAAGCTATCAACTGTTTTTCCTTATTCATTGTCAACTTTCAGGTGCTTAGGAAGAAACTGAAAATACTATGGCTTGGATTGTTGTTATTAAGTGCTGTCGAACTGTAGAAAACTCGTAACAATCCTAGGAACGAAAGACCTGAACACTGATATAACTTTCTTCCTCCAAGTTCATAGAGTTTCCGGAGGCAAGCAATTTCAGAAGTGGATGCCACTCCTGCTTCCAAGCCTGTTTTAATCAGGAAGCTCCACCAAACACTGTCCACCATGGGTAACCATCATCGCATTTGACACACCTGTGTCACAGTGTTCAGCATCACAGCAACCATGAGTTACCTCTGTACAGCAAATGGACAGACCAGTATTATACCACTCAGAAGAATATTTGACCAAAAACAAAACAGGTCTGATGGCCGCAGAACTGGCATCACTATCAACCTTAGGGACAAAAGCCAGTTTATCTACAGGATAAAACTCAAACTCTATACAGTATGAACCCATATACAATTGTTAAAGCCTGAAAAAAACCCCTATATTATAAGGGCAAAATACTCAAGAGCAACAGTGTCTCTCTGGAGACTAAGGTCCACCTGATAAAGGCCATGGTTTTTGCAATCACTTGTTATGCATCAGAGAGTTAGACAGTGACTAGGGAGGATAGAAGGAGAACTGACCCCTTTGAGCTGTGGTGCTGGAGAAGAGTATTGAATGTACCATGGACTGCCAAGAAAACAAACAGATTCATCCTAGAGAGGATTAAACCAGGCTGCTCCTTGGAGGCAAGGATTCTGGGGCTTCGTCTGACATACTTTGGACATGTTGTAAGGAGAGACAGGTCTTTAGAGAGGGACATCATGCTGGGTAGAGTAGAGGGACAGCGCAGGAGGGGAAGACCCTCTATGAGGTGGATTGATTCAGTGACTGGGGTACTCGGGATGGGTGTGTCAGAGGCAATGAGATTGGCACAAGATAGAGCACGGTTTAGGGATGTTGTACATAGGGTCGCTATGAGTCGCAAACGACTCAACGGCACATAACAACAACATATTATAAGGATTACAAATATATATTGTAAAATGACAAGAAAAAAGCTTGAAAATTATTAAAATATTTGGACAGTGTATTTAGGAGGCAGAAGAGAAATGAAGGGTCTGAATAGAGTGGGAAGACTGTTTACTTACTGCTCCAACTTTTAAGGTTGAAAAAGTGATATATACTATAATATTATCTTTTAAAATATTAATGTATTATGTGGCAAACTGGTTTTATTCATTTATAAAAATTTAATTCTAACTAAACATTCTTCACCTACTTTCAAGAGAAATAAAATTCATTACTTTTAAAAAGTTCACTTAAAAGCGTTTTGAGCTCATAGATTCCTGAGTAGTTAACTCAAACTAACACCACAGCCATCCTAGAGGAGCAGTACATGAGAGTTTCCAAAGGTAATGGAGTACCCCTGCTTCTTAAACTCAGGTAATGGGACAAGCTGTAAAGCACCTCATGCATGTTTGATACATCCTTTGACATTCACTACTGAATTCAAACCACTTGAAAGAAGACAACATACTTAATACACAAGGTGTCATGTAATATCCATCCTTTAACTTGGGATCTTCAGGCACATATAAATCTCCACCACATAAAACTCTCGCACCCTATCAAAAAAAAAAAGATAAAATAATGCACATTTTGTAAACTATACAACCCCAATAAGCATTCTTAAATGTTACGTTACCGTGAACAGATACTACTTAGACACCTCTTTGCAAGTTCAAAGCAGAACACTTCATGGGGTACTAAGAACCAAACGGGTGTTAGCTTATGAAACGGAAGGTACCGGTAACTGAGGAGTAAAATAAACCATGTTCCTGCTGCTCACTCACACATTATTTCTCACCTGCTCCCTTGCCAGTTTAACAAACTCAAGGACTCGCTCCAGATGTGGCTGGTTAATGAGGGGACCCATCCTTGTATCCTCCAGAAGGGGATCTCCAATTTTTATCTTTTGGGTGAGCTTCACCACTTCTTCTGTAAATTTATCAAGGATTTCCTTTTGTACAAATACCCTTGTGCCATTACAGCAAACCTAAAGAACAAACAAAATACTTGAGCACCACAACAAGATAAAGGTAAATAATCCAATAGAAAAATGGGCACAGGATATGAACAGGCACTTCACCGAAGACGACATTC